AATGGTTCATATGCTTGATATTATTCAAGACTATTTAACATATAAAGATTATACATTTCAAAGGCTTGATGGAAAAATTAGAGGTGAAGAAAGGCAAAAGAATATAGATCATTTTAATGATCCTAATTCTGATGATTTTATATTTTTACTATGTACAAAAGCTGGTGGAGTAGGAATTAATCTAACTTCAGCTGATACCGTAATTATTTATGATAGTGATTGGAATCCACAAAATGATATTCAAGCAACAGCAAGATGTCATCGAATTGGTCAAACAAAAGAAGTCAAAGTTTATCGCTTTATTACTGCCAACAGTTATGAAAGAACGTTGTTTGATAGTGCATCACATAAACTTGGTCTTGATTCTGCTGTTCTTGGTAGCCACAGCTCAATTAAGAAACAAACTGAACATATTGAGAAAATGTTAAAACTTGGAGCCTATTATGCTTTCCAAGAAGATAAAACTGATGAAAAAATAAGTGAAGAAGATATTGATTCGATTTTAAAGAGATCACAAAGAATTAAACATAATCATATTGCAGCAGGAAGTGAAGGATCAACATTTTCGAAACTTCAATTTGAAGTAGAATCTGATAAAAACCTTGATTTGACCGCAAAAGATTTTTGGCAGCGATATATTCCAAAAGATAAAGATAAACCACGAAGACCAATTGTTGTTCGAACAGAAAGAACTAAACAAAGGAAAAATCTTAGAGAAGAATCAGATGACGATACTGCTGTTTGGGGAAAAGCAGAATTATCAAGACTTACAACAACACTTCTTCGATTTGGCTATGGAAGATGGCAACTGATTTATGATCATGTTGAACTTGATGTTACTTTAACTGAAATACGTTCAGTTTCACGAATCATTCTAAAATTGCTTCTTCAATCCTCTGAAGATGAATTTCCTGTAATTAAAAGTGCTTACTTGAAACCTTCAAATAAAACTGACCGTGATTTCGAAACCAGTTTTATTAAGCATCATTCAAGTGAACTTGAGGAAGTCGCAAAATCAGGAGCAACATGGAAATTATCAAGATTAGAAAGTATATTTTTCTTAAATGCTGCCATTTCACAATGTCCAAACCCTCCAAAAGGTTTATTAATTCCTGATATTTCAGCACAAAAGCCAGCTAAATGGTGGACCGAAGATGATGATAAGAAATTATTGTATAATGTATGGCAAAATGGATTTATGGAATACAATGGAATTGAATTTACTCAAAAAACACCAGTAACGACAACGCAACTTACACTTCGTGTGAAAGCCTTAATTACCAGTATCAAACAACTTTTTACACGTTATAAAGAAATGAGTGGAAAAGATATTGAATATAATTTCAAAACATTTTCTGATGCAATGGATGCTTGGACTGTCAGAGAACAAAGATCAACATTAAGTGCAATCAGTAGTCTTGGTATTAAAAATCTGAATTCTGTGTATGAGCAAACTGGAATTACAAGAAAATCATTTAAGAAGTTTAGATCATTTGTCAATCAACTAATTGATATGTGTAATGAAATATATGATGGACATCATCCAAGCCATGATGGATTACCAGAAAAGATCACTCATTTGCTTGCAGAAAAAGTTGTCTCAAGAATTGATGTCCTTGAAAAACTTGAAAAAATAAATGATTTACGGAGATACAAAGACAAAGAAAAAGCAATAATTGAATATGTAAAAAGTAATGGTTTTATGAACTTAAGTCGTTGTAAAGAAATTGTGAATACCTTTGGATCAGATGGCCTTGAAAATCATGTTTTCAAGTTCCTTCAAGGAATTGTTGGATATAAGCCGCGAATTGATATTACTGCTCCACATAAGCCTAATGTTTCGGTTCAATCAGAACCAGATAAAAGCGGGAAAAAGTCTTTACCATTAACAATTAAATCAAATTTAGTTATTATTTCACTTGGTAGAGTAGTTATTGATCGCCCAGGATTCCATAATGATAGATACATCTATCCTGATGGATTTATCTCAGAGCATAGCTTTACATCTATCAAAAATCCTAATGAAAAAACTTGGTATCGTTCTTTGATTCTCGATCGTGGAGGTGATACTCCAGTTTTTCGAGTAGAATTAAAAGATGATCCAAAGATTCATTTTGAAGGAAATGTTCCTTCAAAACCTTGGATGAACCTGATTCGAGCTATTGATGATGTGAAAAAGAGATTCCAATTGCCATGTAAATATACGGCAGTTTCTGGACCAGAATATTTCGGCCTATCTTCTCCAATTGTAAATAGCATGATGAAAAATCTACCTGGTGCATCACAATGCATAAAAATGCCATTTAAAGTGAACAAATACGAACCTTCAACGGGACGTAAAAACTCATTTAAGAATAAATTAACTGAAAATTCTGATAAAGAAGATACACCATCACAGCCGCCATCATCACCCCAATTTGATCAGCATGATAAACCATTAAGGATTCAATTTTTAAGCTTCACCTTTGATAAATTGAATGAAGATCAAAATGCCAAAGAAGCTTTAGCTGAGTTTTCCAATTCCAGTTTTAAATTTGACAGAAATACTATTAATTCAACTCTTAGAGAGCAGTTGAAGATACCTAATAATATAGATCCTATTGAATTTGTCATGGGAAAGAAAGCAAAATAATTGATTTGTTAGTTTTGAATTCCAATAATGAAATTATTTGTTTTTAAATATAATATATTATCAGAATCTTTTTTTATTATTTTTCAGCTTTTTATCATTATTGTTATGAAGAAGGTGATGATGATTTGTGGAATAATATTTATCATTTAACATATTCATGAACAACCCAAAATAATATTTATCCTGATATGCTACATATATTTCATAAATCATCGTTACTTTATTAAGCAGATAGATATCTGTAATTTCTGCTTTTTTCTTTCATATAATGTTTTATATTCCTTTAATCATATTTATGTGAATCGTATGAATAAACAAAAATAATATTATAAATCAAAACTTATATTTATTTTAAATATAACAAACAATAAAAAGGAACAAACAAAAAAAGCTCGATTATTCGTCAAAAGAGTTTTTCAACGTCGAAAAGAAGTTATATGCTGCATGTGTTGTAGTCATAACAAACTCAAATTCTGGGCATAGGCCATTCGTTGGTGCAAAGTCTATCACAAATTTTGCTAATTGCTCAAAATTTGGTAAATTACTTAAAAGTGCAGATGCGATATAAAGTCCAAAGGTAGTTTCAAACGGGAAAACTGGTAAGTTCTTTTCTTTTGAGCATATTGAAACACCTCTATGGTTGCAAATCATCATTTCATGAATTTCATATATAGCATCAATTGGATTTAGGAGCATTGCAGCAAACTCAAGATGCATAGCACCTCTCTGATAAAATTGGTTATTTTTCATTACTGCTACAATACTATCTTCTGGTTTATGAGCTGGTAGGGCCTCTTCTGGAATTGAGAAAAAATTGCATGGAACTTTTGGTCTTATATTATCAATTGATCTTAAACTGCTATTATCAATTGGGGGATAAAAAAAGAAGGGGCAAATCGAATAAGCTTTTGAAAACATCGCTCTTATCAGAAAAATGAAGCAGCAAGATGATTCAACTGGATCAATTCCTGTTAAAAATTGCAAGAATTTAATAAATAATGAAATTATATCCTGCGTGAATTGAGTTCGAGATTTTGAAGTAAAATTAATTATTACATTTTCGATTTCACTTTTGAGGAGAAAGTCTTGATCAAATATAATGTTTTCAAATTTTTCTTGGAGACTTGTTTCGTTAAAATAATACGAAGTTTTATCAACTTGCAGACTTGTATGTGAAAGAATGTCAACTATTCCTTTTTTAAAATCTTCGACAATAAACTCTTTGAAAATTGTACGTGAAAAAGTTTCTAATCTTTCATAATTTTCTGGGGTCTTCAACATTTCCTTAAAAAATGCTTCTTCGTTAACAATAATGTCAAATTTGTAAACTGCGAGCTTTGGATCAATTATTAAATTGATTAAAGTTTGGGTTAAATTCATTGACCTTTCAAGCTGTTTCCTTCTAATAATACATTGCTTCTTTTTCACAAAGTAAAGCATGTGTAAACCCCAAAAATCTAAATATTTACCATTTCCAAAAATACCACTATTTTGAATATTTAACTTCACATTTGGACTCAAATTAAAATCGAAATTCTGAGAATTTATATTTTCTTCTGTTTCATTGTTTTTACCAAAAGTATTTTCTTTAAAAGCTGCAAAAGTTGGCGGTTGGGTAGCTTCGTAGAGAATTTCCAAGGCGGACTCCTTAAATTGATTCAATCTGAGAAGTTGTTTCTGCCGTCGCATTTCGAGCTGTCCAATAAATCGAGGAAATGAGTTGTCGATATTTTTGTCAGTTTCTTGATTATTTATGATGTTTTCGTTAGCGCTAGTTTTGCTTATTTCGTTTTGCTCGTGAATTGGATTTACCTGTTTGATTGAATTAATTTCAAGGTACTTTGTAAGTAAGGCATGTTCAACAAGCCAATTGGTAAAGAAGTCATCGAAGTAGATGGGCTCCATCTGTAAGTCTTTGACAATCCTATTTACTTTGAAATTATTTGATGCAATTGAATTATTTCTTTACAAATAAATTTTTCCAAGTTTCAAAAAAAGCAAATTGAAATGGTTTAATAACATTTGTATTCAAATAAGAGTGGTTATCGAATAATACATATTATGATAGATCAGAGTAAGTGAAATCCTAATATTAGATATATATGAGACATGAATAACAAGGTTCTTTTACCTTCTAAATAGAATATTTTAAAAGATGTTTCAATAAAGAAAATGGAAGAAATCAATTGTCTTGTACAAAAGCAAAAAACACTTTATATATATATCCTTTAAGAAGAAAGCATCCAAATAGATTTATTTAAAAAAGATAAAAATTTTATTCTACGAATTCGAATCGATTGTGAAAGAGGAAACAAGTTCAAAAGTGACAATGACTGTGTAATTATTTTCTCCAATTAGGGAAACGTGCGGGTGATTAGCTCAGTGGTAGAGCGCTACTTTAGCATAGTAGAGGCCAGGGGTTCAACTCCCCTATCATCCATTTTTTTTTTTTTTTTAATTTTTTCTGGTAAGTTTTGAGTGTTCAATTATTGACCGTTATATGCTAATTCTTTTCAGATAATTCCTAATCGTTTTCTCTCGATTGCTGATTTATGTTTGATCATTTTCAATTGATAGTTTCAAATTGTTAGTTCTCATACGTTAGTTTTCCTCTGTAGTTTCATGCTCATTGTTTCGTGATTATTATCTTATGTCTAGATCTGTTCTAATTCCATTATCTTTTGGAGATTCGACCAACTCTCTATATTTTTCTTTCTCATCCATGTAAGTTGTTTCCATTGTGTCAATACCTCAATTTCTTTTGGCGAATGGAACACTAATCTATATTAATATTCAATATGATTTGCTTTCAGACCAACTGATTTTATCTAGGCGCAAATATTTTATTTCCTCAAGCATGTCTTGTATCATCAATGCTCTGAGTCTTGTTCTCTGGTGGATTCACCATAATATATAGAGTGTCCAGAGGTGTGATGTAACTCCCCACATTAGAAGTGAAATCAAGAAATTATATTAATAAATAATAAACCGTACAATGTTAATATTAAAAATTTGAAAACAGTTTTTTCTCTTCATTTAAAATAGTGATAAAAATCTTTTTTTTTTTTTTTTTTTTAAAAAAAAAAAAGTGAATAATTAATAAATGTACATGATGCATGTTTATAAAAATGATCAAAACTCAATAATAACTTTTCTCCAGCTTGAAGGGAAAAGGGGCAAAGAAAAATATGAGGAAACGAGAAGCGTCTTTAATGAAAATTGTTGAACTCAAAGACAAATCTACCGAGGCATGGCAGAACTGAATAGAAGTTAAAACACACATCCAGTGAAAAAAGGAAAAAGTGCCAGAGTTATGATATTCTTGATTGGAAAATTGTAAATGACCTAACAGAATTTCCACATTCCTCATGTCGTTATATAGCAAATGTTCTAGGTGAAAAGGCTTCTCAAAATTCTAAAAGATGAGCAAAAAACGAATTTCACTTTTTTTTATTTCAGGTGATGAGTCTTGGTCTTATTCCAAGACCGATTTTAGCACTCAATGGATTATTGAAAATCAAGAAATATCAAGAATTCCCAATCCAGGTTTTCAGATAAAAAAATTCATGGTAACTATATTTTGGAACACTTCTGGGATAGTTCATATTAATATTTTACTCCAAATGAAAAATCCTGTTCAGGATTGTTGTTATTGGTATTTAATTCAACAGCTAAAGTTAAATTCAGTGAGACGCAAACTATTTTTGCCCTGAAGGTAATTGAGTTAGTGCCCTAGTGTGGAGATTTATCTGAATTAAAGTCTCAATATAAGAATGTTTGGTTAGAATCATTATTCGTAATGAGAGGTATTCCTCTCTTAACTCTTCATCGTGTATGCTCTTGGTTGTTAATAATCGGATTTTTTTGTTTTTATTGAATAAAAGTCTAAGAATAATTTGATTATTCCTGTCTAAGCCATTGTTTGATCAACTGGATTGTTCATCTGTGTAGCTCCTAAGATTTGTGCAATTGAAGGAAATTCTTCGTCATTACCTAAATAAGTTGCAAATTTCTTTAAAGTTAGCCAGAATAAACCTAATACTTCTCTTCTTCTCTTGAAGTCCTCATGTCTTCGTCTGTATCTTTTTATCAAGTCAACTTTATCGTTGGCAAAGGTACAACCATTGAATCATCGGGCCATTTTCTGGGTAGACTCCATCTTCTGCCTCTAGTCTGGCAAATATTCTTCTTCTTATAACTATTGAAACGTAATTCTGAAGTTCATCTTTTGTGTTTATGGTCTTTATGCCATGTTTGTTTTGTAAGTGTCTTCTTAAATTAGCGGTCAATTATAGGGTGTCCGGTAATGTGATGTCACTAAGTATAATAAAGTCATTTCTAATAAGTCATTTTTTATTGATAAGTATTTCAAAATATGTAGTCTCCATTGGCATCAATAACTTTTTTCAGTCTATTTTGCCATTCTGCAAAAACTGAAAACAAAGTTTCCGATGGAATTTCATTGAAATTTTGGACTATTGTTTGAATCAAATGGCTTGGTGATTCAAAAACAATTCCTTTAACTTTTTCTTTAATAGTTCCAAATAAAAAAAAGTCGCTAGGCGCCAAATCAGGTGAATATGCCGGATGTGGAACTGATTCTAGTGAGTTTTCATTTATATATTTTTTGACAATTTTTGCCACATGAGACTTTGCATTGTCATAATGAACAAATAATTTTTTATAATTATTCGAGTTTTTAAACTCAACAATTTTTGACATAATGGCTGTAATATAATATGCAGCATTAAACTTTTCATTTGGCGGCAAAACATCAATATGAATTATCCCATGAGGGTTCCAAAATACAGTCACCATAAATTTAGTGATCTGAAACCCTGGATTTTGAATAGTTGGGATTACTGAGTTTTCAGGAATCCATTGTGTATTGAAATCAGTCTTGGAATAAAACCAAGACTCATCTCCTGTTATTAAAAAGGTGAAATTAGTTTTTTGTTCTGCATTCAAAATTTTAAGAAGTTTTTTTGCCAATAAAACTCTATTGGCCTTTTGATTTTCTGTTAGAATATGTGGCACCCATCGAAGATGCACATGTTTATACATTAATTTTGATGTTAAACGATCATAAATTGTCGATTTTGGTTCACCTAAAACATTAGCAATATATCGACACGATGAATGTGGAAATTCGGTTAAAACATCTAAAATTTTCCAGTCAAGAATATCATAACTTTGGCACTTTTTCTCTTTTTTCACAGGCTGTGTGTTTTGACTTCTGTTCAGTTCTGCCATGACTCGGTAGATTTGTCTTTGAGACAAACATTTTTCTTTCAAGACACTCTTCATTTCTTCATATATTTCTTTGCCCCTTTTTCCTTCAAGCTGCAGAAAAGTTATGATTGAATGTTGATCAATCATTTTTTAATAAACGTGCATCGTGTACGTTTATAAATTATTCTTTTTTTTTATGAAAAAGATTCTTTATCTCTATTTTCAGTCAAGAGAAAAAAAAATTGTTTTCAAAATTTTTATGTTAACATTGCATAGTTTATTATTTATAAATATAATGTATTGATTTCACTTCTAATGTGGGTAGTGACATCACGCCTCCGGACACCCTATAT